CACACACACACACACACACACACACACACACACACACACACACACACACACACAGAAAATAAAAACACTAATACTTGTAGAAATGAATGCCAGCAGACTCCTGTTTACCATTATCTGTCCAAACGGTCCCATCTTCATGATGTTTTGGAACTGCTCGTACATGTCTCTGAGGGTGAACTGACCTGCGGGTCAAAGGTCAAAGGTCACGGGTCGGTCCTTCGTACACGCAGCGCGCTCTGTTGTGGCTGTGTTTGATTTCTCACCGTGTTTCAGTTTGTCGATCAGCTCCTCGTTGTCGTCCAGCTTCAGCTCGTTGACCCGGTCTATCAATCCCTCGATGTCGCCCATTCCTGACGGGAAGAGAGGCACCATGTTTCATCAGTCCAACAAACCAACAAACCACAGGTCAGGGCTCGATGAGGCTTTGACTTATAATCATTGAATCCATTTTTCAACTTAAGTTCTAATGGCTGAAGGCTGAGTTTACAAAGTGTAACTAACTGAACTCTTGGTTGTGCACTGGAGAGACAAACCAAAAGTTTTTATCAGTGACCATCTATCCTACCTACATAAAGAGACACATACTTTTATAACTAGGGATGGGCGGTATGACCTCACATTCATTTCAGGGTATAAATCGAATCCCTTCATATATATATAACAGTAGAAAATGATCATAAAAAGCAAAGATAATGTAATTTTTAGAGCATTTATTTAGCAGAAAACTGTAATCATAATCAAGCCCAGTATTTTTGCTGTAGTACAAATGAACTTAAGTACAAAAGTATATTTTATATATATATTGCAAAATGGTTTCAACAACAAACAAAAACATTTCTCAATTTTTCAACAATATCAAAATAAAGTGGATGTTATAACCAGAACTTCAAGTAAAATTACTCATTTAGACATAAAAGCATTCTAAGTTGTTTAAAATGTTACAGTGTGACAGGACATTAAGCTGCACAGAGTCCTGTCATAAAACTATTTCACATAACTGGAATGTAAGTGTGGTGAAGCCAAATAAMTGTAATATCTGCCTGCCATACAATGAGTTTCTGCCTGCTGTTTTTGTTACATTATCAAGATGGATTTATGACTGAATGAACGTCCACATCTTTTTATCATCTCTGTGGGTAACAATAGATAAAACACAAGTTTTTCTCTGACAACTTGGTGTGAAAAACTACAGTTGTTAAAGCTTCGCTCTGTGTGATGTGCAGCGGGAGGGCGGAGGAAATGATCCCACCCCACGACGTGACTTTTCTACAGTGGGAGGGGGAAATGTTGAGGATTTATTCTCTCTATACGCATTTTAAACTCTTCATTTCTTCATTTATTTTCATTAAACTTCAAACTCCTCCTGCTCAGGTGTCTCTACACTCACAGCCCTGTTGACACAGGTGTGATGATGTAACTGATGACAGGTAGAGGCTACATTTCTACCGTACACCAACTTCATATCGTTTCTACAGTCAATCACATTTACCACACACTACTACACACATTTAAATAAACCAGCTGCTCTCTGAATGTTCTCCGGAGGTAAAAACACAAACGTTACCGAGCAGTTTGCTGATGAAGGGCTGAGTCTTGAACGGCTCGAAGTCGTCGATGTGTTCTCCAGTTCCGATGAAGATGATGGGACTCCTGGTGGCTGCCACGCTGTGGGGAAACAGAGAGTGTAAACAAACAAACAAACAAACAAACAGAGGACCTGTACAGTGCTGTTCGGCGAGGGGTGGGGTCCTACGCGCTAAGAGCTCCGCCTCCTTTAGCGTGCCCATCCAGTTTTGTGATGATCACCGACGCCACGTCTACTTTGTCTTTGAAGGCTTTAGCCTGAGCCTCGCAGGCCTGACCGATGGACGCGTCCATCACGTATATGATGTTGTCGGGTTGCTATGGAAACAGGAGCAGAAAAATGACTCGAAGCAGCCGCGCGTCATGGTCAGGCTCATGGTGCGTTCAGGGACTCACCACAGCATTGGAAACTTGAAGCATTTCCTCGAAAAGCGAGTCCTCCTGTTTGTGTCGGCCGCTCGTGTCCACGATGATGATCTCAAAGTTCTCACCTTTGAATTTGTCCACGCCTTCGGCCGCGATCACCACTGGGTCCATCTCTGTGTAGCTGATAACAAACAAAACAGGAAGTCAGGAGGGGGAGGGGCCAGAAACACTACAAACGCCGTGACGAACAAGACCAGGAGCCACTCACCTGCCGTAAAACGGGATTCTGGCTTTGGTGGCATTTTGTTTCAGCTGATCAAAGGCTCCTGAGAGAGAAGGAAGAATTCAGAGAGTGTTCAGCTACTTTTAGCTACTGTTTAGCTACTTTTAGTTACTGTTCAGCTTCTTTGAGCTCTTAGCTACTGTTCAGCTTCTTTGAGCTCTTAGCTACTGTTCAGCTTCTTTTGGCTCTTAGCTACTGTTCAGCTTCTTTGAGCTCTTAGCTACTGTTCAGCTTATTTTGGCTCTTAGCTACTGTTCAGCTTATTTTAGCTCTTAGCTACTGTTCAGCTTCTTCGAGCTCTTAGCTACTGTTCAGCTTCTTCGAGCTCTTAGCTACTGTTCAGCTTCTTCGAGCTCTTAGCTACTATTCAGCTTATTTTAGCTCTTAGCTACTGTTCAATTTCACTGTGCGCACGTTGTTTAGCTAGCCATGCTCAATCCAATAATATCAACAGGTTAACTGTAACCATAAGCTGCAGGGAAGGTGTACCTGCTCTGAAGGTGTCRGCACAGATCAGACACGTCTTCCAGCCTTTCCTTTGGTAATAATAAGCGAGCTGCAGGAAGAACAAAGATGGCCGTCAGAGGAAAGGGAAGCGTCTCCAGAGAACAGAACGGTGGGTAATTCTCAACAGATCAAATGATTGACAAAAAAAAAAAAGGCAGCGTCACCTTGGAGCAGGTGGTGGTTTTCCCGCTGCCCTGAAGACCGACGAACATGATGACGTTGTTCTTTCCTTTGGTGGGGGTCCAGGCCTTCACACCCGGGTCAACCAGCTGGAACAGAGGTCCCACGTGAACCAGACTCACAGCTGGAACAGATCTGAACCACTTACAGAACCTGTGTGGAGCTCACCTTCACCAGCTCTTTGAAGACGGCGTGTTGGATCATCCTYCTCTTGTTCAGACCTGAAGCCATCTCCTCCAGGTCGATGGCCGCCCTGCAGGCAGAAACGCACAGTCACTAACTGCTGGACTGATCTGGACTGACCTGGACCCAGCAGCAGATCTAGGATTTTTCTGAGTCAGGGGCCATCAAGGGGCCACAATATTCATAGAGGGGCCAAGTCTTTGTTCAGCATCTTTTCACACAAACCTCCAGTTTTGGTAAAGTGTTTACATTTAACCAGTCATACATGTTCAAACACTTGTAATGTTTTAAAATTTACCACTTTACAATAAGGCTCCCCTTACAGATGGCTTTTAAAGAGTTTATAGACAGGTTATTAATTCATCTGTAAACACTTTATAAATTATTAATAAATGTTTATTATGCATTAATCAAGAACAAAAAAGAGACTAAACTGTCCGGTTTCTTTCCAAATACTGAGCCAAATCTGTTTGTGTATTAAACATTTCAAACTGGTTTACCTTGTAAGCACAATAATGATTAGGAAACATATTTTAAACGTAATATTGTATTAATGCAATATAAATATCCACAAATATTAAAGGGATCCTTATTGTAAAGTGTAAAACTGTAAACTATTTTGGATGGGGTGGGATTATTTGCTGTGTTAACATGATGTTTTTTATTTTTCTTTTTTGATACTTCATCATTGTTAACAGTTACATGTTTGAACAATAGTTTCATATCTTGAAAATCAACACAAAGTTTTAAAAATGGTGATTTTGCACAATAAATACTAACTTTTGGCATTTATAAATGTTTGTCATTAATAGTGTACTGTTTTACACTTTACGATAAGTCTCCCTTGTGAATATTTATAATGCAGTAATACAATATTATTATAATATGTGTTTCTTATTATTGTATTTACAATGTAGTAACCTAGTCTGAAATGTTTAATAAGCACCTTTTAGATGTCATATGTACATGAACAGATTTGTCTCATTATTCGGTTAGAAACTGGACAGTTTGTCTCTTTCTTGTCCTTAATTATTGCATAATAAACATTTATTAATGATTTATAAAGTGTTTACAGATGAATTAATAACCTGTCTATAAACTCTTTATAGGTCATCTATAAGGGGAGCATTATTGTAAAGTGGTACCATAAAAGCTTGCACAGTAAATTCTCCTCACCAGTTTTTATACATTTTACTGAACATAGATAAAATATTCTCAAACAYAACATGTGAGAAAATCCAGCCGTTATTTGTCAGATGAAAGACTTTTTAACAGGATTGTTCAAATTTTCTTAAGAAGAGAAGAAGAATTCTGAGCTTGATTCATTCTGGACTTTACTATTTGACTCATCAGCACCTCTAGTGTTTGAACATGGAACTGCATCCACCATCATCACCCCCCCAGGTAAAGGACAGGTGAGTGACAGGACAGGGATACTTCAGGGGGCCAATCAGATTTCAGCTGGGGCCAATGCCCCTGTGGCCCCACCCCTAGAATCGCCCCTGCCTGGACCAGAGGAGACCTGGACTCACTTGACGTTCTCTCTCAGCTGTTTGACCAGCCTGATGTTAACATCTGCCTCCAGGAGAGCAGCACACACCTCCTTCAACATGGCGTTCAACACCTGGAGACAAACGTCTTGTGATTTCAGTGAAACACGAGGGACAGATTCAGAGTCTCTACAGACCAGCAGGTCTTTACTTCAGTTTCACCCTCACCTCTTCATTGATGATGGTGGCATTGCTGAGTGACCTCAGCGCTGAGGTGATCTTCCTCCCCAAATCTGCGAGCACCATGTTGGCAACGTGGACCGACCCTGAAACAAACAAACAATAAACTGATCAGACCTCTGACCATCAACCAGTGTCGGCTGAACATGGAGCTGCCTGACTGTTGCTCGTTGTGTTCTCACTGCATCAGACACAAAATGTTGCTGCTTTTCTGTCAAACCTGTTTGTTTGAGGAGGAAACATGCGACGTACCGTCTGTATGAGTGTGTCTAATGGAGGGAAACCCTCCGGCTCAGTCTGCTCTGTAATTCAGCTGTTTGCTGCAGATCACAGCTGAAACGTTCCTGCGTGGAGGAGAGAAAAATTCATAACATCAATAAAGAGGAAAATTAAAGATTATTTCAGATATTCTGAAGTTGTCTTCTGAGGAGAGCTTCTAAACAGTTCATATTTTACTTAACACTAGGGTTGGGCAATATTGGCAAAAAAGTTAATCATGATTAATTGTGGTAYTTAGTAGGGCTGTGTATTGGCAAGAATTTGGCGATACGATACATATCATAACAGAGGGGTCACGATACGATATAGCCTGATATATTGCGATTTTTTTGTCCAAAAATTCTATTAAATAAAAACCTCTTACTGAAAAAAAAAAGCCAATGTTTACTTACAATGCTAATGCTACCCTTACTCTCTGGCGCTCAAGAGGTAGAGGAGCCAAATGTCTGGCTCACTGCTGCCAACTAGTGGTCAGAGGCTGAACTACAACATAAAAATGAACGGCTGGCAGGAAAGTTGACATTTTAAACCTTAATAAAAATCGATACAGGGCTTTAGAATATTGATACCGTATCGGGAAATGAAATATTGCGATATTTCAGTGTATCGATATTTTCTTACACCCCTAGTATTTAGCTGATAATGATTAATTTGATGATTAATCCCCTGGACACCCTTATGTCCTGGTCACATGACCAATTTAGTGGGAAAGATTTGCTCTTTGTAAAAATCTGTTCCAAATTGTGTCAAAAGTACAGACTTCAGGCTATACTTCAAATTTTAAATTGTGTAGATAAACCAAGTAAAACCAAGGTTATGATAAATTACAGAACTTTTTTTTTTAAAGTTCGTAATATTTGAAGCGGAGAGGAGCGAAATCTACAGTCTTCCTGTTGGCATTAATCATAAAGTGCCAAAAAATAATCGATTAATGTTTTTCTGATGATTAATTGCACACGATATGATTATGTCCAACCACACTTAGCGCTTTTGACAAATTTGATTTGTAAAAAAAAATTTAAGTCTAACAGGAGATCATAAAGTTATTGTTCACACCAACGGTTCTCAAAGTTGGGGTTCGGGAACACATTGTAGGAACAGAGGGACCAGTAAATCCAGAGGTTTGGCCTTTTAGCACTCTAAAAACAGCGCAGATGATCACTGATTTCAGGAAGTACACAGCTCCACCCTACCCCATCTCCCTTATTGCACAACCACCACAGTGGGTCCTCCTCCATCACTCAGGACCTTCACTGGAAGCTGAACATCAGCAGCATCACTAAACAAAGCCCAGCAGAGGAGGTTCAACCTGAAGTCTATGATGGTGCATTCAGGTGCTCCGGGACTCTAAAGACTCTTACAGCCCCCTCCCACCCTGGACACATCTGACTCTCTCCTCCAGCAGGAGGTTGCATCCATCAGGACCAAGACCTGAAGAGTTTCTTTCCCAGACTGAACAGGTCTGGGGACCCCCACTAATTCAACCCTTAGAACATTATTAATGTAAACGTCCTGATGCATCTCAGTAATCCAGGTAGAAAAAATTCAAAAAGAAAAAATAAGTAGGTCCTCTGGATGGTTCTTCTTTAGTGAAACATTTCGTCTCTCATGCTCTATAAATAAAGTTGACGTATGTAAAAATATTTGGTCAAATCATATTCTGACTCAACTCGACTCTTTCTTCACCACAAGCGACTGAAGCAACACCCTCATTACTGAGGACAAAGTCCCGATCTGTCGATCCATCCTCCCTTCACTCAGGACCAAGACGTTTGTGTTTAAACCTCAGTGTTTGGATCATGACTGAATAAAATGAGATCCTGAATATAAGCAGCTGAAATTATCTTCCTTCGTAGGACGGCTGGCCTCAGCCTTAGAGACAGGGGGAGGAAGTCCATCGTCCAGTGGGAGGAGCTCCATCATCCAGGGGGAGGAGCTCCATCATCCAGTGGGAGGAGCTCCATCATCCAGGGGGAGCCGCTGCTCCTCTGCATCCACATGAGTCAACTGAGGTGGTTCATCTGATCAGGGTCCCACTGGGAGGAGACCCCAGAGCAGAACCAGAACTCTTTGAAGGGATTATAGATCCTCTCTGGAACAACCTGAGGAACTCCAGGAGGAGCTGGAGACTAAGGTCTGGGTTTCAGTTCTGGACCAGTTGCCTCCACAACCCAACAATAAGTGAGCAGTAGATGGAGATTTTTCTTAATTCAGGACATTTATTATATTCGGTCCATAACTTAGAGTAACTTTAACTTTTAAATGTCTTTATTTTATTATTTTGCATTTCAGGTGATCAAATAAGACAAATGACATTCAGGTAATCTGAGTTATTCTTATTAATGTCATCATTACTAACACCAAGTTTTTATGGTTTAAATTTGAAGGGTTGCAGCTCAGACAGATGACGGATATTTTGTAAAATATTTTTTATTGTCTGTCCTCTGGTTTAAAACATGCTGTGCTGCATTTAATTTGCATGGGAAAAAAACAGAAAAACAAACTTTAATTAGTCAATTAAACAAAATGAGATTATTTTTAACTAAAAAACATATAAATGCTTAAAATCAACGTTTATCTCAACATATAATAAATAACATGATTTACGCCAGTGTTTGGGTGGTAGTTTCTCAACTTGCTGCTTCACATCAGCTGTTTACCTCCGTGCTAACAGTTAGCAGCTAGCCGTGTGTGTCAACAGAAACGAGGGTTAGCCGCTGCTTCGTGGCATTTAACCGGACTCCGGAGGCGATAAATTCAAATGTCAGGTGGCGGAACGTTGAAGTCGGCGGGGAAAAGTCGTTAAAATCAATCTGCGGAGCCTTACCTGATGTCGGCGACTACAACGCAAGCTTAACCAAACTCAGGCAGAGGARCGTCAGCGAATACGTACTCAACCGGAAACTAACACAATCGGGGGTTGGTGCTCGGTCGAAGTGACACTCGCAACAGCCAATCACACAACGGCCCAACGATACACGAACCAATCACAGAACATAGCTCCTCCCACTTGGAGTTTCTCATCCAATGACAGCTCACGTCTCTTTGAGCGATGGACCAATATGGCGCTCTCTGCAGGATTGGAGGATGATTTCAAATATCACAATTTTATTAGATAAAAGTGGTTTTTTTTTTAGATATAGAGCATAAAAAACAAAAATTTACATCTGTGCAGTATACATCCAAAACTGAAACGAGTAATTCAAACAGGAAATCAAAAATAAGATATTTATAAATTCCTGAAAAATAGTCTTTTAGAGTTTATATGGGTAGAAATGCATTGATATTAAAAGATCACCACACAAATGTGAAAAAAAATATATCAAATTATTCTGAATAAAAATAAAATAAAATTTAAATATGTTCTTATCCTATATGGCACTGAGGAATAATCTTGTGTTTGCCATGGAGGCTCCATTTGTGATGTTTTTTAAACTCAACTATAGGTTAAGATACTCAGAGTTGATTTAACTAACGGTAATCAGCAACTTTAGACATATAAACTCAGTTTTTCTTGTTTATTGTGAGTCAACTCAGAGTTTAGTTAAACTAAGATTCAAGACTTCATTTTAAAATATTTTTATTAAGAGCTTGGCTTTATTTCAAAAAGCGCAGTAAGAGTTTATTCAWATGTGGATGTATATGGGATAAATCTTGTGCCAGCAGGAAGTGAATTTGAATTGTTCAGATTGAATCTGAATGTGCAGAATTTGGAATTGAATTCATTGGTTTGAAAATGAATTTTATTAAATTGAAACTGAATTTAAAGTTTTGTATCTGAATTAATTTTCTTTGAAACTGTATTTTGGTTTATTAAAAATTCAGTTTGACTACTTTCACTTTCAGTTCCATAATTCAGATTTTTGTGTCACATCCTGGTCCTTGAGAAAGCCAGGCAGAGTAATCAAACACAGATCCACAGATTTATGTTTCACTTTGGTGAAGTTTCCCTTCTGGATGTAACAGAGTTGATGCAATCCACTGTAAAARTGACAAAAACACACAAAGTTATTTTATTTTAGTGATTAATTTGACCTATATGTAGAAAATGTTACATTTACATGATGACATCATGGATCAGTCAGCAGCAGCATCTGATCAATATGTGATCCATGATGTCATCATGTAAATGTAACATTTTCTACATATAGCTAATATTAATCACTGCAATAAAATAACTTTGTGTGTTTTTGTCACTTTTACAGTGGATTGCATCGACTCTGTTACATCCAGAAGGGAAACTTCACCAAAGTGAAACATAAATCTGTGGAYCTGTGTTTGATTACTCTGCCTGGCTTTCTCAAGGACCAGGATGTGACACAAAAATCTGAATTATGGAACTGAAAGTGAAAGTAGTCAAACWGAATTTTTAATAAACCAAAATACAGTTTCAAAGAAAATTAATTCAAATACAAAACTTTAAATTTAGTGAAATTTATTTTCAAACCAATGCATTTAATTTCAAATGATGCACATTCAGATTCAATCTGAGCAATTCTAATTCACTTTCTGCTGGCACAAGATTTATCCCGTAGCTGTGTCTGTTTCAGTCAGTATCTCCAGCAGAGCTGAAGGTCTGCGATGAGACGGAGCTGCTGTTCTTCCACTGCAGGATCCTGCTGGACAACGTCTCCATCTCTGCTGCCAGAGTCAGCATCACGGACCACGAGGTGTCCTGACAGGAGAGAGGAAAGATGGAGGTCAGCAGCAGAACCAGGAGGAAGTGGATCAAAGTTAGTTCAGTTACGGACCAGCAAGGCGAGGCAGTCTGTAGGGGAGCTCTGGTTCTGGGCAGACCTCAGCTTCTCCTCCAGGCACTCGATGAAGTCCATCAGCAGCTTCACCGTCTCCACCACAAAACTGAAACCCAGAACAGACCGACGCCTCGTTAAAAACTCTAAATAAAACCAGATCTTAGGGGCTGGAGGYGGGATTACCTGTGCAGGTGAGCCACCACGGGCAGATTGGTGCGAGCCAGCGGCCTCGTCAGTCTCTGTTTGAGAAGCTTCTGCTCCTTCAGGAGGTCCAGCAGGTGATCGCTGAGCGTCTGCAGCCTCTCGGTCTTCTGAGCTGCCAGACGACAAAACTAAATGTTCTTTTCTCCACGTTTGATGAAACGATTGTTTACGAAACGCTGATTCAAACTCACCAAGATGGAGACCCTGAGGGACATCAGCACCTTTCTGATCGACCMTGAACAGCTCCAGCTGCAGCTGCAGCTGCGAGGACGACAGCTTTCATCAGAGTCATCACACAAACTGAGAGCAAAGACAGAAAACAGCCCCTCATGCAGGGACTCTAAACCCAGAAAACACCCGACTCTGCATTTTTTTTTACAAACAAGTAATAATCTTAGGAAACATCTCAAAGCTGAGCTACAGCTGAGACTAAAGTGAAGCAAACCTCGTTCAGCTGTTTCTGTTTTCTGATTTGTTCTTCAGCCTCCTGCAGGCGCGAAGAGAAGACGGGGTTTGGGTCGGACAAGGCGGCGTCAATTTCCCCCTGAAGGGAAATAAAAACAAAAACATCAACTCTGGAGCGCTGGAATCAACACAACCAGCAGGAAACCCAGTCCTGACCTGAGAGGCAGCTCCTGCAGAGACACATCTGGACAACAAGCTGGCAGCTGGAGTGACAGAGAACAGAGACGAATCCCACTGATGCATCTGGAGATAAAACAGAAGAAACTCTCAGAAACTGTTCTGTGACTGAGCAGAACTCACTTCAGGAATAATATGAAGGACTGCAGCTCCTACTTTAATATCCCAGGAATAATGAGCACTTTAGAGACTATTAAATCATTACCTGATTATCTGAATATAAAGGTTTACATAAAGATCCACTGAACAGCTGTAAACTATTATAGAAGTAGCTGRAAGCTATGTGCTAAATGATAACATGTTAAAAGTTGGTTTTTTTTCCACCTGTGTACGAAACCTTTTAAAGGTCTGAATTTAATCAACATGAAGGTTTGTGTCACGACAGGTCAGTTTTTCCTCTTACCAGAAACATCTGTTCATCTTTGTGGAAATGTTTTTACTCATAACTTTTAAAGGTGTTGCTGCTCTGATCTGCAATTATATCAAACCTGATTTCCTGATGCAGTTTGAAAATGTTTTGTTTGGCATCACAGGTTCTAAGATGTAAGACCAACAGCTGACATTATTATCAATCTGATTTTAAAGGTTTCATTGGGATAAAAATAAAGCAATGCATAGAAAACATCTTTTTGACTGAATTATGCCTTGTCTTGTAT